GTCAGTCCAAATCACTCCAAGACACGTCTCCTGAAAGACCCTTGGGAGGCCCAACTATCAAAAGACCCCGTTTCCCCAACACAAAGCTCCTGACACACCACAGAGCATTAAATTCTTTATGTGTTCATGCCATTGGGCTCCATTAAAGCAGCAACAACATTGATGTCCATCATTTAACCACTCATATTCCCTTTGAAAACAAGCAAGGAATATTAAATTACAGAGATGTTTTTCGGGGCTCTCTGCAGGTTCAGGACAACATCCATGCTGGGATTACACGTGGAAGAACTGTACAGCAGCAGGTGAAAAGTTGGGGGAACCACTGCACTGAGCTCTGCTGCTGCTCCCACCTACTGATTCCTCCCAACCTTTTCAGCCAGAATTTAAAATTCCCATCTTGATTTCCCATTTGCCGTCGATATAATATCGAGCCCAGCAGTCATTTCCTCACTAAAGGTAATTAACAAGTTATTTGTCAACTGTGCTTTCAGCTTCCAACCACTCAATTTCTTTATGCCTTCCCTGATAGGTTGAGATGCTCTTGGATATCAAGACCAATGCAAAGCAAGTGTGAAACATTATTATTCCAGCTTCACACCCACTTTCCCTCGGTGTGAACAATAATGCAAACTGCAAGACAGTGATGAATTGGACCTGTGGAGGACCAGATGCTCTGTGAGCATTAGCACAGGCTCTGCCCCCCAAAGGTTCTCCAGTCTAAAAAAAAAGAGATGTGATGCCCTGCTCTCAGAGCTGCCTGTGCACACACACAGCCCTTTAACACCAGGTGTTACCAGGTCACACTCGAGGTGGAGTAAGAAACGGGAAATAAGCCCAGAGCAAACAGGAAAACAGCAAGGGCAAACGAATCAGTGTGGGCAGAGGAATGTGGATTTTGATAAGCCTTTTTTTTTTTGGGGGGGGGGTGAAAAATAGCTTTGGCACACGTTTGCAGATCAGCACTGGTTTCAGTGAATTAGGGTTTGCAGGCAGGCTCAGTCGCTTGACCCAAAACAAGCCACATTTACAGCAACTCCATCAGACACAGCAATTTGCTGCTTCATCACAGCCCACAAAGAGAAAGCAGGGGGGGCTGCTGCCCAGCTTGAACCCCACCACAGGCTCAAACATCAGTGGCAACAAACCTTGCAGTCCCTCTGCCTCTGAGCGGGGCCAGGGAGCCATCAAATGAACCCTTCAGCATCAAGACGTGATTGGATTCCTTCAGAAACACGTCAGCCTCTGTCACTGCACCACCAGCTCTGGGGTTTTCAGCACAAAGTTTGTGAAGAGGTTAGGGGGGGTTTTTAGGAGCCCAGCCCCTCCCGAGGAGGTCCAGGCTGTCTTTGCTCTCAGATTCAGGAAGGGGAGAGAAGGTGCAGAGCCACTGCCAGGGGGCAAGAGCTGCTTTTCTGCTGACCCAGCTGAGGTGTGATCACACAGAGATCTTAATGACATCAACTGCTCCTGGAAGAGCCAGGGAAGGACCCACAGAGCCTCCCCCAAGAGCCACCAACGCAGGGAACTGGTGTCACACAGCTGTTGCCCACCAGTCACCCTCCTCCCCCCCAGCACACACCACTGAAACAGTCCCAAAAAGGTAAAAAAAAAAAAAAAAATCACCCTGTTTTTTAAAAATAGCGAGGTCTGCAAGGAGCTGAGCACATGCCTGAGTGGGTGGGAAATTAGTATTATTATTATTATGATGATGATGACTTTGTGCTCGCAGGGTCCAAGACCTCAGATGACTTGTTTGTGGCCGGGATGGATTTTTGCAGACTCATTATAAACCCTTGAAAAGCGGGGTTTGTAAGGTCAGAGAAGAACTCCCATTAACTGTAGCCCAGCTAGGGATTGCCAGTGTAATCTATCTCTCCCGTTTATGCATATTCAATAAGGCCAAGAGGAAGCTCCTTTGCTTTATTTCCACATCGTTGTGCTGACGCTGAGCTAACCAAATAAACAAACTGAAGAGAGGGTGGGGAGGAACAGAGAGGCTCAGGGAAAGGGGAAAAAAAAAAAAAAACACAAATGCCTGGCTCTCTCCTTCATGAAGGATGCAAATAAATTCTGCAGACTTTGAAGTCAGGAGATCTCAGCAGAGATGAAAATCCCCCTGGGCTGGATGGCTCACCAGGGGCTGGGCTCGGGTGTTTTTTTTTTTTGGGGGGTGTTGTGTTACAGAGCTGCTTCCACGCAAAGGATGGGCAGGATAAACATTAATACCTTGACACCTGAGCGAGACCTGGCTCAGGGATTTGCAATGGAGCAGAAACAGAACCCTCTGGGCTCTCTAATCCCCCCTCCTGGCACTGTGAGACCACAGACTGTTCAGACTCTTCACAGCAACACTCCCTCTCAAGCCCTGGGAACATTCCCGAGCCTCTAGCTTGGAGACACTGAGGATCCAGGCAGGAAATCACCCGTGGAGATGGACAGCGCTCTTTTTGCCACATCAGAGCATCACCTGTGGCTCCCCATCACCCTCAGCTTGTCCACGCAGCCCCTCATCAGCTGTACACACAAACCACACCATCTCCTCGTGTCCCTACATGTTCTCCTGGTAGAATCCCACAGGATCCCTCCCCAGGCTCCATTATCAGGGCAGGATTCACTCAGGGTTTTCTTCTTGTCATTCTGAAGCCCGAGTTACACCAACTGCTGCTACCGATCCACTGGCACAGGCACAGCCAGCAGCCTTCCCTTCTGATTCTCGCAAAAGCAAATTGCCAACCTTTTCTGTTGGCACCTTGGCTCACTCTAACCCTGCTCTGATCCATTTCCACCCCCAAATCATTAAAGATAATAAATAAGCCCAGCCTCAGTGTGAGGAACCTTCCCATAATCACCTGTCTCCCCTCCGATGAGCACTCGGCCATTACACTTCTATTTTCTACAGCTTAACTAGGAAAGCCAGCACTGAACTCTGCCCCTTATCCCACAGCTATTTATTGCCCACATTCTGCTATTTATTTCCCAAAATAGTCCCTTTTGGGTGGATTTAATGAAAAATCCAAATAAATTAGACCCGTTGGAACATGTTGAGCTCCTGTTTTCTCAGCCTTCCAAGCAGCATTAGGAGGGAAGGTTTCCCCACTGGGCACCCATGCTCTGCACATAAGCTGAGGTGATTTGACCCTCAAGCTTAGACCCATCCGAGTATTTCAGTGATAATTAGGCCCTCCCGGCAGGCACAGAAGCAAAACTCACCTGGCCTGACATCCCAGCTCTTCCTCAGGTCTGAATTCTGGAAAGGCAGCGCGTGGCGAAATTCCTGCTGCATCCATCAGCTCCCTCTGCCCACTGGGGTTCCTGCCTTGCTAACTGCCCAGCAAGGAGGAAGAGTCCTCCCCTTTGTGCTTACACCTGCTGCTCGTTTACACTCGATTTACCTCAGGGCCATCAGACCTGCTGATTTACACCACCCTTGCTCCCTTTCTCCCTTCTCTGAACAATTCAATCACTGCTAATTCACTGCAGGTGGGGACTGCCAGCTCTGTCCCGCCCATCAGCCACTCACTGTGACCAGCATGGAAATGTTCTATCCGTGGAAGGTGTCCCTGCCCATAAGGGAAGGAGATGAGTTTTAAGGTCCCTTCCAACCCGAAGCATTTTGTGATTCTATAATCTGGCCCTCCACCTTCATCACCAGTCACTCCCACGTCCACCCCATCCACTGTAGCACACCAGGTCTTCCACAGGCACCAGGACAAACATGGAAATCGCTGTAACATCGACTGTCCCTCCAAGCCATGTCCCACAGAGCAGGTGAAAAGTTATCACAGGGACCCTTCAAACTGCTCCATTACCTCCTCACAGGTTTTACAACTTTTTTTCCTCTCTCCAAGTCCCCCATTTTTCTTGTCAGAGAACCCATGGCAGTGTTAGCAGCTCCCCTGAGGGTACAAGCCAGACAAACTGGAGTTTCCAGTCTCCTGAGCAGGGGCACAGCTCTGCAGCATTCCCAGGGATCTCCTTTCTGGACAAAGCTCTAAGCCAAGTTTTCCACTCCTGTGCAAAGCTTTCCTCCTGGAATTGCACATACCCCAGTGATTTCTTGGTATCATCCCCTCAATTCCAGTGTTCCTCCTGTCCACACACACAGCAAGAGGCTCCCTGTTTTAACAGATTCCTCAGCCTTTATGTGCTTAGAAACCATCCCCCTTGCCCAGAACAAAAAAGCATTTCTGAGAAGACTTGCATAACTTTTGTCTTGCCTTGTTGTGCCTGCCAGGAAGCACAACAGAAAAAAAAAGTATAAATCAAACCTGACCCTAACGAGTGCTGCCCACAAAGATCTCCCCCCAGAAGTCAGGGAGAATCGATACCCACACCTCAGGCACATCATCAGGCCTTTAAAAAGGGCAAGACATCGACTGCCTGCACGTACTTGGTGCTGACCAAAACCAGAATAAAGCTCAAACTGCCTTAAAGAAGATGAAGTTCCTTGGAGGAGGGAGTTCTTCTCCACCAGTTTGGCCCAGTCATATCTGATTTTGAGCATCTATCTGCTCCTTCATCCCTTGTGTCACCCCTCCCTCCTCCTCCTCCTCTCCCCTGCTTTTCCTCTTCTGACACCAGACCCCATCCCTCCACCCAGCAACCCATGCAGGCTCAAGCATCACCCCGTAAAAACACACAGCTTCTCCTCCAGCCAGAGCAGCCCGAGGCCTTTCCTGGTCTCCTCTGTCCCTATTTCACGTGGAACACCAGCAGCTCTTCCCCAGAGAAAGAGGAGCCTAAACCCACATGGCCAGAGCAGCTCCTGTGGCAAACACAAAGATCCTCCATCACAGGCAGATTCTCTCCCACCAGAACTCCTTCAACTACCCAGGATTTTGCTGAGGATTTTCCCAGCTGCTACGTGAGTTTAAAGTTCACTTTCTGCTTTCCCACCAAGCAGAGACATCACTGTGAGCACACCCAACACACAGGAGACGCAGTTCCCTGGCACATTTAACCTTTCAGAAGAGAGAGTCTGGAGGCAGCACTGCCCATACCTGCCTTGCTGCTCCTCTGATGAGCTCCCTGAAGACCAGGTCCCTCAAACCATCCTCCATCCTCGCCCAGATTGCTGAGTGCTCCTTGGCATCGAGGTGTCCAGGCCTTTGCCAGCCCACATGACTCCTTGGCTCATTTGCCTTGCACAGCTTGCAAAAGAAACCTCCAGCAAGAAACTTGCAGCAGCAGCAGCATCTCTGCCTCTGTCCTTCTCAGAGCTGGAGGCAGCTGCTCCAAACCCCCCACTTATAACCAGCCTTGCACAGATGATTCTTTTTAGGGAGATGTTCATCTCTTTACCCCAACTCTGGTCTGTCCTCACCCACAGCCCTTCATTTTGAGGTTCACCCATTTCAGGCCCCACTCTTCCCACCCCCAAGAGCAGAGGCACCATCCCCACAGGAGCCAGACCACAAAGGGTTAAGAGAAATGGCCATTTAAAAAAGGAAAAGAAAAGAGCATTCTCCTTCCCTGTGCTGACACTCTCTGTGCTCAGCACAGCCTGTCAGCTCCCTTTTCCCCCATCCCAGCTCCAGCTGTCTCGTCTCAGGGTAGGAATTCACATCAGGTGTGGGGAAAGCACCACCTGCAAGCCAGAACGAGCCACACAGCAACTTTCCCAACTTCTGCCTCCGCTAATCAGGCCCAGCCCCGAAATGGAAACCGAGAGGGGAAGGTTCTGCCACTCGCCATCTATTTCTCTACCCAGATGGTTCCCTTCAAATACACAGCTTAATATACATAAATACTAAAGCAGACTTGCATCAAGACACGTTAAAAATGCCTTGGCACGGTGGGAGCCTCACTGCAGATGGCTCCTACCCCTGTGTGAAACAAGACTAAAGCAAACCATGGCAGGAAAGCACCCGGCACAGTCACATCCACCTCCTACCTGTGAGCACACGCGTCTGAGCACCCAGGAGCTGGTTGCTGGGTGCTGTCGGCTCCACGGGAGAGCCAGAGACTCCAGAAGGATGCTCCTCGCTCTCCCAGCGCCGTAGACTCCCGGCTGCCAGCCCAGGGAAGGCTCTGCTCTGTGCTCGATGCAGCGGTCACATCCAGCCGGGATGTGGCTGCTGAGCGGCTTCCCGGAGAAAAGGCTGAGACAAAGGGCTGGTTCCAGCTGGGGGGGGATGTCTCCCGGTCGTGGTGGGGCTGCTGGAGCCCACCAGCGCTCCGTCAGAACGGCCGGGATGCGGTGGCTGAGCTGTCCCTCAGCATCCCCCGCCAGCGGGAGGTCCCCGGGGAGGCAGGGACAGAGCTGGAGCCTCCAGCAAGCAGCACCTCCCCGCAAAGGGGACCGGGAGGCGAAGCAAAACCCTCGGTTTGTTCGATTAACTCCCCCCGGGGTCGCAACCTTGAGGTCTCGACCCTGCGAAAGGGAAGAATCCAGCCTGGCGGGCGATGGGAGCCGAGCGGCGCTCGCAGCATCCCCTCACCCACGCAGAGCCCCGGCCCGAGCTGCGGCTGTGCCAGAGTTCAGACACAGATCCCACGGGATAAAGTTGGGCCCAGGGAGAGGTTCCTGCGTGGAGTTTTCCCCCCCAGTGCCCGGGCTCAGCGCTGCTCCTTCGTTAGAGGAGTCAGGGCAGCGTCAACCCCGCACGTCTGCGCACACAACCAGCTCCTCGCACATTCTATTCCCGAGCACAACTCCACCGACACGCGTTCCAGAACAACGAGCCTTTTCCTTCCCGATCCAGAGCCCGAGAAAAAGATGAGTTAGAGAGCGTTCTCCTCGCTGCCTGGCACGCAGGGCTGCGAGCACAGCGGTCCGCGGGGAGCATCCCTACCAGCTGCCCACCGCATCCCGGGGATCGCTCCCAGCTCATCCACAGGAGTTGTAGCCGCCCCCCTCCCCGCGCCCCGCGAACTTCAGCTCCGCTGAAAAGCCAGAGCGTGGCATTTTTCAACTCTTGGTGCGCTAAAAAACACCGCAAAGGGCTGGTCCCGAAGTCCTTCAGCGAGTGGAGGGGGCGGCCGGGGGGCACCGGCTGTGGGTCAGGAGGGGATGGATATGACCGGGAAGGGGCCGAATGTGACCGGGGAGGGGGTGATCGTGGCCGGGGGGGCCAGCGAGCGGCTGCGGCTCCGCGCTCCGAGCGCTCCCGGCCCCGCGGCTCCGCAGCGGCGGCTCCCGGGGGCCGGGGCGAGCATCCCGCGGGGGGACCCCCGGCCCCGCCACCCCCGGGGGAGCGCTGCCCGCCGCCCCTCCAGACCCTCCCATCCCTCCCTCCATCCCTCCCTCCCTCCATCCCTCCATCCATCCATCCCTGCCTCCCTCCATCCCTGCCCGCTCGTACCTGGGCTGGGCTCTGCCCGCGGCTGCTCCGGCCCCGCTCCGGCAGCGGCGGCCGCGGGTCCCCGGCGGCGGGAGGGGGAACTGCAGGGGGCGGGGGGCGGCGGCCCGGGCACGGCGGGGACCCCCCCCAAAAACAGGCGGGGCGGCGAGGGAGGGATGGAGAGGGGGTACGGGGAGAGAAGGGGGCTGGGGAGGGACGGGGGGAGAGGGCAGAAGGGAGGGATGCGGGGTGGCGGACAGCGAACAGAGGATGGAGGGAAGCAAGGAGCAGGAGAAAAAGGAGCTGGGAAGGAGGGCGGAATGGCAGGAGACTGAGGATGGAGGGAGGGCAGAAACTGGGATGGAGGGAGCACAGGGAGATGGGATGCAGGGGGCTGAGGAGGGAGGGCAGGGAGCAGTGGGACACTGGAATTACTGCTTCCAAAACTGAGCAGTTTTCCTAAGGCCAAACTAAACACTCCCAGTTGGTATATCTGGGTTTGGGAAAGCTGTGCTTTCTCCCCCCCCCCATCCCAGATCCTTAATTTGCTTTAGGACTCTCCAGGGTTCCACCTTTCCCTATATGTTCTCTCCCTCTGCCCTCCCTGAGAGGGACACATGGTGAGACACTTTTGCCCTCAGCTGCTAAAATCTTCATATCCAATATTAACCTCCTCCTTGTGCCCTGAACAGCAACACAGGCTGTGGAAAAAAAAACCATCATCCAGGACTGGGAGACTGGCAGGAGTGGGACAACCAGAGCCCTCCCAGGGTGTGAGGCTGGGAAATGCTGCACCAGCCAGAGCTGAGGTGTCCCTGTGCTGCTCCAGCCTCCCCTGCGACGCTGCAGCTTTGTTTGCCTGTTTATTTGTTTTTTTTTTTTCTTTTAATGGCGAGAAAAGCGAAGCTTTTAAACCATCAATTAATTGGACTCCTGCATTAAGAGCGATGAACTATTATTTGACAGAAATTCATCTTCCCCTCCTGCTGAGAACAAATAAGCTGGAGGAAAAGAATCAGCTTCAGAGGAGAAAAATAAAACGCCTCTGCTTCAGAGACAAATTACTCATGAGATACACAGGTAACAGGCATGGGGTGCTTTGAGCTCATCCCTTTTACACATCATTTCCCTCAGGACAACAGCTACAAGTCAACCTGCTTCGTGACTGATCCCCAGGCCTTTGCCCCAGTGCCCCTGCCCAGCAGGCCATCCCAAGCATTTGTTATCCTGGGAAATAGAAGAGCATTTCCCTGTGTCTGGGCTGAGTTTGCTTTTAATTTATGGTTGTGGCCCTCAAGGTCCAGATTCACACCTGCCTGGGCTGCAGCTCAGTGCTGAAGGTGAAGTGGGAGGGGGCAGGAGCATCATCGAGGTGGATCCTGCATCCTCCTCCCTCTCCTGACTTGTGCAACCACCCCACTCTTTCAGACTTATTTTGCATAGTTCAGGTCCATCTCTGCCCTTCCCACCATTACTGGAGCCTCAGCCTTGCTGTTGTGCACTTAGAAGGGAACTTCAGACCTGGGAAAGTAAAATCCAAGGCCTCCACCTCAAAATCTCCACGGCAGAGCAGAGTCACAAAAGTTAAAGCACCTTGTCGGCCAACAGCAGGTGAGAGTGGCCTGAAAGGAGGGAATCCAGAGGAGGCAGCCACGGGAGAACTGTCTGCAAATAAACCTGGCTGGGTTTGGAAATCCAAAGGTTTCCAACCCACCTCCTGCCAGGAAGTGTTAACGTGGGGAGAGGAGGGGGAGGGAAGCCACCCAACTAGTTTTAAAAATAGAGTTTGGTCACTTTATGAATGAGGTGATCTGACACAGTTCCCTGCCAAAGCCAGGGAGTTTGGTGACCTAGAAAATCCCTTTCCTGGGCATGGAAGTAGTGTTGTTGTAAGACTCTAAATCCGAGCGTTACGGAGGGTTTGGGATCCTGCTCCTAAACTCAGGGGAACAGAAAGGCAGGGAGGAGATGCTGGTACTTCAGAAAGCCCTCAGAGACAGGGTCCCTCCTCCAGGGCAGAGCACTGGTCCCCCACCAGGCAGCCCTGAAAGCTCCTCCCCTGGGAATCGCTGCTAGAATGCTCGCTAAGGTCAGCAAGGCACAGGGGGCAGAGCAGAAGGTCTTAGAAAAACAGTTAATTGTCCAAAACAGAAGCTCAGAACTATGGTACTATTGCAGGTCCAGCTCAGCCCAGCCCCAAATACGCTCTGGGGTCTCAAGACAGCCCCAAACACCCTCTCCCCAGCAGCAGCTCTGCCAGCTGAGCCCCTGCAGGGTGTAGGAAAGCCTGTGGTGATGCATATGGATGAGCCTGCCCCAATTTCCACCAGCAACAGGCTGTTTGTTCCGCGGGATAATCCAGCACCTCCAGATCCAAACATCTGGGGGAAACAGGCCCTGCTTACCCCACGTTGTACCAGGTACCCAAAGCAATTAAATGATCTTCTCCCTCTCAGCTGCACCAAGAGGGGGGCTCTGATCTCAAAACTGACGTGAAGTTGAGCTGTGAATCATTCAAACAACTGCTGCATCTCTCTTCATAGGTGGCTACATTTCAGCAGCACAGTAAATAACAGTCCCACTGTAAGGAGGAGTCAGTCAAACCCAGGAAGAACTGAGAGATTTAAGGGGATAAAAGATGCTGCAAAAGGCAAGATTTCTCTTTTTACTGTAACACACAAAAAATAAACCTATTATGTGAGTGCCAGGTTTTCCTTTAAGGCTTGTAACAGGTTTCTATTGGTAATAGAACACGTCCAAATTAGATAATTTTATAGATAAGAACAGCTTTGAAGGAAGTGGTTAGGGGAGTAAGTATCTTGTGGTAGTTACATAAAAAAGCCCATCTAATTATATATATATATTTAGATAGCTCAAAGAAGTTAGTAGGATGAGTTAGATAAATAAGGAACATTTTGTGGAACAGTTTGTTTGCCTTCTTTTTCATGCAGAAGAAAATGTGTGTGAATTTAAACGAGCTCAAGTCAGGAATGGCATCTGCCACCCTGATGCAAAATTTGGGAGGGTGCTCGTAGTCCCATCCGAAGAGGCTGCTCCACACCTTTACTTCCAGTGTTGAAAGCAAGCCATTCCTTTAATTGCCATCTAATCTCACAAATACCAGCATGTGGTTGGTGCCCAAAGCTCCCAAAAGAGATGGCTCACACCCCCCCTCAGGTGCTGCACGCGCAGGTGAGACAATCCTGGGAGACCAGAGAGCACTTCAGTAAGGTTCCAAAAAAGCATTTTGCCATTTTGGAGATGGGAAATAGAGGACTGGAGCAGAGACAGGATATCAGAGAGGCCACATCTCAGACATGAACCCACCTCCACTCACAGCCCTGAGCTTTCACAAGGAGATCCATCCCCTCAGACAACAACAAACATTGGACTCATCATTTGCCGTTTATCTTCACTTGCATCCCAGTTTTCCTTGCCTTTTTTTGTGTGTGTGTGTGTTCTCTTTGTAATTACTGCCATCAAAGCATGTTTTCCCATCTGGG